TTTGACCTCCTCTGTGAGAGGCTGGAAACAGTGGTGTCTGTGGGTGTGTGGCCTTATATGTATGTCTCTGTGCGTGTCTGTGCGTGTCCATGTGTCTGTGCATGTGTGTGTCTGTATGTTTCTGTGTGTCTATGTGTGTGTCTGTTTCTGTGTGTGTGTATGTGTCTGTATGCCTGTGCATGTCTGTATGTGTGTCTGTACATGTGTGTGTCTTTGTGTGTGTGTGTATTTCTGTGTGTCTATGTGTGTGCATGTGTCTATGTGTCTGTGTGTCCGTGCATTATCTGTGTGTCTGTATGTGTGTGTATGTGTCTATGTGTCTGTGCATTATCTGTGTGTCTGTACGTGTGTCTGTGTGTCTGTGTGTCCGTGCATTATCTGTGTGTCTGTGTGTCTGTACGTGTGTCTATGTGTCTGTGTATTATCTGTGTGTCTGTGTGTCTGTACGTGTGTGTATGTGTCTGCGTGTCTGTGCATGTGCTCATTCTTCCCTGAGTCTTTCCGCACATGCAGAAGAACACATTTTCCCCATGTGGGAACAGCTCGGTGCATCAGCCACTGGTCTCATGTGCCTAGAACATGCCATGTGCCCATGATGATGCCAACCATGTTCCCAAGAAGGAGGCAAGCACAAAGAGTCATGGTTCCTGGAGCTGGGGGGCCTTCCAGAGAGACACACTCAGCTTGACACTTTGCCTCCACACCGGTGTCCTGCCTCCTGTCCCCCCCACCCCCCAGCTCTTCTTAAGGGAGAAAGGGAGACGAGGAAGCAGGTTGTGGTGGGAAGTGCCGGGCCGGTGGGCTGGGTTCAAGTCCTGGCACTTCCTTTCTCGTGCTGAGTCACCCTATGTGGACTCAAATCTCTCTCTGGACCTCAGTCTCCTTATGTGTGATAAGATGAACGTGGATTAGAAAAGCCTGAGAGTTTTTCCTGGAGCTGATGGTCTAGTATCTGTTCTAGAGGAAGCTACAGGGAGTGGGGTGTTGGGAGGACGCTGGCGAGTGGGCATGAAAAGAAGCGTCCAGGGTCAGCTAGTGCAGAGCTGCTGCTGCGCTGATTCCTGCACTGCAGGACTTCTCAGAGCCTTTCAGGTGTTTACTAATGGAACTCAGCTAGACGTGGCAGGAGTGTGCCGGGTTCGTGGTCTTTGCTGATCACAGGACCTTTGTTCCTTTGGAGAGCATCCATGGGGCTTCTGTTCCGCTGAACAGTATCTGAGACACATAAAATTCATGTTTTTCTGGGGTGGGCCCTGCCAGCCTCGTGTGCCCTCTCTGCCCTGACAGTCCCCTTGTTCTCCTGTCCCAGGGAAGGAACTGGTGCTCTTCCTCCGCCCGCGATCCCAGCTGCACCTCAGTGCCAACTTGGAGGCCTTGGATCTGCAGGGCTTCCAGCCAGACCAGGAGTGGGCCCGAGTGTCCGTGCTGTCCACTGACAGTGGCATTGAGCGGGACCTTCCTTCAGGGGCTGATGAGCTACCTGCTCCCAGCATCCCTGAGGGGGAGCATGCCGGGCTGCAGCGCAAAGGGGGCATCAAAAAGCGTGCGTGGCCCCCAGACTTCTTGATGCCTGGCAGCTGGGATGGGCCCCCGGGGCTGCACCGGAGGACGGGCAGGCCCAGCGGGGATGGGGAGCTGCTGCCTGGTGTCTCCCGGCTGCACACGGCCCGGGTGCTGGTGCTGGGGGATGACAGGATGCTGGGGCGCCTGGCCCAGGCCTACCACAGGCTCAGGTAGGGTCCCGAGGTGGGTGGTTGGGGACTGAGGCTGGTTGGGGCACAGGTGGGCCTGGCATGGGCTGGTGAAGGATCAAGGAGTGGCAAGAGAGAGTCAGGAGGCAGAGGCCAGGGTGGGATGGGGGGAGGACCCTGGCTGTGCGCCCTGCATGTGGCCATCACAGAGCACCGTGCTCACTGCTTTGTATTTCTCAGCCCATTAATCCTCATCACCACCCTGCGAGAGAGAAGTTACTGTACCCATTTTATAGATGGGAAAATAGAGGCTTGGAGAGAGGACCTAATTTGCCCAAAGTCAAGAGATAGTAAACAGCAGAGTCAGGATGCCAAGCCAAGTCTGTCTGAAGCCAAAACCCCTGCTCTTACCTGCTATGCGTTGCTGCCTGTTGCCAGGAAACGGGAGACCCAGAAGTTCTGCCTCACCCCCCGCCTCAGCCTGCAGCTCTACTACATCCCCGTGCTGGCGCCTGAGGTGACAGGACAGGGGACGGCCCAGGGGGATGCGGGGAAGGGATGGAGGGGTGGCTAGGAGCAGGGGTCTGGGCAGAGAAGGGGTGCTGGGCAGGGGCATACCTGCATCTGCTGGCTCAGGACGAGAATCGCCATCTGTAGAATGTGGAGCTGGGACAGACCTCAGGGTCTTCTGTTTCAGAAGCCACAGGCGGGTGCTCTAGGGGCTGAATGTGGCCAGAGATAGGTTCTCTCATGGCGGCGGCCTGCCCACCACTGCTTTTACGTTGTTTTGTAACAGAATTAGTTGCGAGCTTCTCCTCAAACATGAGGTTCCCACCACTCACACACGCCACACTTCCTGGGGTCACATCAAAGGACATTTCACACAGTGGAAGCTACTGACCTACTGGGGGTGATGTGGCCACACTTGCAGGTTTTCCTGTCTATTGAACATGCCACTTCTCACCAGGGAGCAGCAAAGTCATAGCAATACTGGGCTCACCCCTTTCAAGGCTGGTGATCATTTTTCACTGTCCCTGGCAAGTGGCCCTCAGCACA